TAATTTAATATAATTTTTTTTAAAAAATTATTTTCTAAAAAACTTATTCTATAATTATTTTTATTTTTGTTTTTTTGCTATTTTAAAGTAAAATTGTTCAAAATAAAATTTAAAATTTAAATATTGAGCAATTTAATAGTTAATTATAGAGAATTTTGCTGAAATTGGATTATACTAAAATTTGAGGTCTTTATTTAATCTATAATACTTACTAAAACCCACATATACTCTTTTATTAATAAGACTACCTCCTAACCCTAACCTAACTATAAAAAAAAAAAAGACTACAAAAATGGCACTAAAATTTTACAATATTATAATAAAATATGGCAAAATTCCAGCATAGTCCAATTTTAATATAATCTTCTACATTAATTATAACAGTAAATACGATACAGTAATGATTTAGTTATTTATTTATTTACAGCATATAATTTTTTTTTTTAAAATAAAAAGAAAAAACAGTGTAATAATAATAAAGAGATTTTGTGAAATAACATTTTGTTAATTAGATGCTTCCAATCAATTTTATTTGATTTGGAATTCTAATAAAAACGTTAGATAATTGGAAATTTATTACTGGAATGTCCAAATACCCTTTTTTTATTTAACCAGCGATTTATATTTGAGCTATGCATCTAATACACTTTCCAATAAACAAATTAATAACTGAAATTGGAATTTATTGGAAGGTCTTGACAAGCACTGATTTTTGACCGGGTTCCCAAGTTAAGTTGCGTTTAGCATTGATTTATTAAAATATAATTTGGTAACTAAAATTTCCTAATTAATAAATGCGTGATGTGACAAAAAATTGCCAGTCCGTCTTAACCAATGAATTTTGGTCAAACTATATATATAAAAAAAAAAAAGAAAAATAATGAAAAGTATGAAGAAATATATAAAATTAGCATGGACACCAATTATTTGGTGAAAAATTTTTTACAAACCATTTTTTCGTCAATTCAGCAATCCGGGTTAGGTGGATCTAGCCCATTTTCTTTAATGAAAACTTCGAGTTGTTCAACGCGAGCACGAAAGAGATTACGAAGATTCAAGATATCATTATAATTATAATATCCTTTATTGAAACGATTGGCTTTAAAATTAGAGATAGTTCTCGAATAACGGCACGATTTCTTAGTTGTACGATGCATTGGGTAAGATGTAAGATGAAAAAGGAGTTGGCAACGTATTTATAAAAACTAAATTCGTTGACGATATGACATGCACACAAATCCTGAAATCTGCATGTAACAAAACACAAAGTTGTTATCTGAATTCAGATATCTGAATTCTGAATTCCGACTGATCTGACAGACTGATCTGAATTCTGAATTCAGACAAATTTGAATTCTGAATTCAGACATTTAATCTGAATTCAGACCAAATAAGTTACCAAATTTGGAAAGGTTAAAGCGGTACATTGATCTACATACTAATACCCGCAGTTGTCAATGGATGTGGACCTTGGACATATAAAAAATATGGACATGTCCATGTACGTACAACGCTGGGCTATACCTTCATCAAAAAATAATCTCGACTTTAACTCCGCTTTAGCTGAACTAATAAATATAATAAGAATAAGCTTATTAGGCTTCTCTTACAACTAGAGGTCTGATCCGATGAATAGTGCATTCGAATATTCGTTTCACTGAATATGTTAATATATTTTTCATTGTTCGATTCGTTATCGTCATTTTGAACAACTTCAATGCAGGACAATAATAGTTGAATTTAAATCTATTTATTACAGAAAATTAAAATGTTAAATTACAAATATAGGTGCAGCGAATTACAAACTAGTAGTTTATTCAAAAACTACAGTAAACTATAGTTTTATGGTACAATTTATATTAACTATTATATTATTTTACGGATCATATCACTAGTGCAGATATTTAGAAGGCCAAAGATAGCTACTTCTTTATGTCACCTTCATGTCATATAAAATATGGGTAATGACATCCACACGTCACTATTTGTTAGTTATAAACATGTGACTTCACGGACCCATGGGTTCGTCATATGGGCGAAAATCTCCAGTCGAAACACAGTGATTATTAGATTTATAAGTACAGTCAGACCTCCCTAAATGCATATTCCCTAAATGCATAGCCTCTCTAAATGCATGGCCTTGTTTGGCCCCAACTCATATGACGCTTATAGATTTTTACCTCCCTAAATGCAATACTTCTCTAAATGCAAGATTTT